ATTATCTTACGAATCACCTTTTTCTGAGCTTATAGTCACAATTGCAAACACACATGTGAACATCATTTGGGTTAAACACAGGCTTTATGCCAGCAGCATCCTCGGCATCCTGTTCAAGTAGAGTGTTTGAAATTCCATAAGCCACTCACAAGAAATAAAGGTCTTGGAGTAACCCCTTTAAGCTGTTTTCATTAATTGCTCAATCAGAAACTGCACTGCATGAGGAGGACATTTTAAGAGACAAATGAACAAAGAATATTTTAACATACCATATAATTTTTTTTTAAAAATGAAATTGCATTTACCTTCTTGGATTCCAGACTCGGGCTTAGATGATGCATTTCAAGGTTCCTACTTGCAACTGTCATTGATGCAGTGCCTCTTTCAAATTCTCTGACAAGGTGTCACAATATGGTAGTGATAGGGCAGAAAGCAAAGAAAAAGATTCTTTCAAGGTCTGGCCCTTGAGCTACACTTTCAGAATTCTTACCCCCACCAGCAACTCCTAAGGGAGCCTTCATATGAAAACGTCCCTGCTGAGAGGCCTCCTTCTGCAAGCCATCAAATTGCAGTCATTATCCCAGAACAGTAAGAATACAATGATTTGCACATCTATGAGGGGATTGGAGGAGAATGCTAAAGAGCTTTGCATGTATTAAGCAGGTAAACTGCAGCCCTGCTGTTGTTGTTCTCCTCCTACAGTAGTGCAAATTGGGATGCTGAGGAAGGAGTGAATTGGACCTCGGGACAAATCCTGTGGATGCAGTGAGGTTCCTACTTGCAACTGTCATTGGATACCTAACTTGTCTTCATAGGGATGATTATTCATACCATGGCCTTTTCTGAATCTATAGGCTGTTGTATAAAATTAGGGCCTTGGATGATTCTGTGGAGATCTGAAGGAGATGCAAGGTTTGTTTCTTTTAATTTCCTTGCTTAAGATAGGCTGTGGGTTGTGTGTCCTGTGTCTCTCTTCTGTGCTTTGGGATTTGCCCTGCTCTTTAAATTTGACTTGTGCAGTAACTGGCCTTTTGTAAGGCAGCACCCTTAATTCTTCCTGCTTGCCAATTACAAGTAATAAAGAGGATTTTGGGGTACGTGTATTCTTAAAAGAGTGAGGGTGTATTTCTGTTCTACTCTCCACTGCCCTCAGCATGTGTTTGGTTTATCTTCTTTTGTTTCATCCAAGTGCCTTGTTGAGGACAAGACTTAAAATGTACAATTTATTCTTCTATCTTTTGTTGTCTTTGAACCCTTACAGGTGTTTCCCAAAGCTATCACTTCCTCATGAGCAGGTGATTGTTTGCATTTGCCTTCTCTGTTTCACCAGTTCTGCAAAAGCTACAGCTTGTCTTTCTCAAATAAAACTCCTGTGTTACTACAAATGTAGTAATACACACAGTACAGCACTACAAATGTTGCTTTGGATCTTTATGTACAGAGACTACAGTTTTGATACCTGTTAGTAAGTAGCGAGGCTACAAAGCCTTGAAAGCCTAACAGGTATCCGAACTGCAGATTTCTGCTTTTAAAGACCTGTGCTGTCATTTCTTTATTTTGGAGGTGGGGGGGAAGTGTGTGTTTGAAAATTTTAATTCCCCTACTCCAGAAATAGGAATTTTCAGGTAATGGGGCTGTATTGAAATCTGAGTGAGATATGACAGTGGGGTGTTACTGACATGAAATTAATTATGTGATCTCAGCAGGTTTACTAGCTGATAAATTACTTACAGTTTTTATCCTGAACCAAATGGTTAGTCTCATATAATATAGAGCCATAGTCCCTGGAAGTGGGACTTAGAGAGATACCTCTGGGGAAGGATTTTCAGTTCTTTTAAGATGTGCTACTGTCTGTAGTATATATGGGAAGATGTGTTCTACTTAAGAGTTTTGTGGGGGTTTTCTTTAAAAAATTTCATATGAGCCTTCCATGCCTTCATCTTTCCTGAAAATAGTCTTTTTTGAATGTAGAAATACAGGTTTCACTACATTATTTTCATTACTGTATTGAAAACCTCAGCTCGATTTCAAAAGGTATGCAGAAGATGGGGCTTTCTGTGCTCTGGCTACTCCACTGTCACCTGTTTTGCATATGTACATGATTTCTTAACTGTATGAGAAACTGTGCACATAATACTTGTTGAAGACACCTACAGATTTCTAGATTCAGTCTTTTCTTGCAGCAAGGGAGGCCAGCAGCCTCTCCAGGCTGCATCAGGAACCAGCACTCCCTCTCAAGAGAAACAGTCATCCATGATCTTCTTCAACGTGAGTCCTTTCCACAGGCTGCAGTTCTTCACAAACTGCTCCAGTGTGGGTTCCTCCCTCTCCCCCCATGGGGTGCAGTTCTTCAGGAATAGACTCCTCCATTGTGGGTCCCTGTAGGGTATAAGTCCTTCTTCAACCCTTCTCTAGCATGGGCTTCCAACTGGGTCACAGCCTCCTTCAACCCAGCATGGGCTTCTCTGTGAACTGCAGGTGGATCTCTGCTCCACCATGGATCTCTGTTGGCTGCAAGAGCCCAGCCTGACTCACTGTGGTCTGCTTGGGAATCTGCCCTGGCAGCTGGAGCTCCTTCTCCCCCTTGTTTCTTCACTGGCCTGGGTGTCTCCACAGCTGTTCCTCTCATGCTGTCTAACACCCTCTTCGGCACAATTGCTGTTGCCAGAGGGGTTTTTTGCATTATCAAATAGTGGTCCCACACGTGCAACTACCATCACTGGGCTTGACCTTAGCCAGTGGCAGGTTCATCTTGGAGCTGGCTGACATTGGCTCTGTCAGACATGTGGGAAGCTTCTAGCACCTTTGCACAGAAACCACCCCTATGGCCACCTGCTACCTAAATGTGGCCATGCAAAACCAGTGTGGTTCCCCAGGTTCCTTTCCAAACTTGCCTGTTTTGTCATTCTCTATAATGAGAGTGTGGTTCTTAGTAGAAATAATGGATCCAAAGTGAACTTCTGTAGGGCCGGCACAAAGTGGAGGTGTTGGAGAAAGAATCTGAATAGCAATAAAGTTGGAATGCAGATGGGGTAAATGACTAATGGAGGGGAAAAGGATATCGTTGATAAGGCCACTAATGCAGTAGCCACAGGTAAAGGAGCTCCTGTTAACACAGAAGTGTACGAGAAATTCTAAGTCAGCTTTTTACTGCAAGCCTGACAAAGCTGGTAGTAGGGAGGATTGCAGCATCTCTTTGTACGTGTCTAAAGTACTGCTGGAATTTGCTGTCCTCACTGGTGTTTCTCTGCCCTGTTAATTGATCCAAAATGTATTGTAAATGTAAGAAATAAGTTGGCCAGCAGCTAAAAAATTGGGAGTGTTTTTACACTGATTACATTTTATCAAATAGGTACTGAATGCTCATCTGTTGCTTTTAAGACCTGCTGGAGTTAGTAAGAGTAGCTGTAGTTGCCTCTGGGCAAGTACTGTTGTAGAAGCATTCATATGTCCCAAGCTTCAATTATTCTTACTCGGAAGCCTTTGCAGTCAAAAGATTTTGACATAGCAGATGTGGATGGTAGTTTGGTGTTGATTTCTGAGGATTGTTTGGGGTACTTCTTTCAGGTTAAGTTAGTAGTGGGTGAATGTTAGCACCTCAGAACTTCACATAATTCTGTGTTTTGCATTTTCTTTCTGAAATGGTGCCTACATCTAGTTCAATGTCTGGGATCTTGGGAAGTTGTACCGAGAAACACGACAATTGCTGTAACCGCAGCCTGGAGAACAGCTCTTAAAGGGTGCTTCCTTGCCTGCTCTTCCAGGATTTTCACCTGGAGTTAACAACTGCAGGCTTCTTTTAGTAACGAGAGCTATGTAGTCCCTAACTCACTTAGCAACCTTGGGCATTTATTTGTCTTTTTTGCAGCCAACGAATGCGGTCTCGGAAGCGGGGCATCTTCAGCTATTTGATAATGAGTGTTCGTTGTTTGGAATATTTGTTACCCTGTATTTGCTGTGCAGAGATGATACGAAGTGAAAAAGTTGCTAAATCCCTTATTCTTGACTTTGCTTCCAGCCCCGGCCGCATCACCCTTCTCTCGGGCGGGGACCGTCAGTCGCCTCTCGGGCCGGGCGCGGTGCGGAGGCGGCGGATTCCCCCATCCCGGGATTCGGGCGCGATGGGGCGCGCAGCCCGTCCCGCGGTGGGAGCCCACGGGCCGGGAGTCCCCGCGGTGCGGGGCTGCGCAGGGACGCCTGGGGCGGAGGCGTCCCGGCGCCGGTGTCCGCGGAGAAGCCGGCCCGGCTTTGCGGGGCCCGTGGCGAGGGGAGGCGGCCGGGCGGTGTCCACCCTATAGCGGGACTGCTCTGCCTCTCTGCTAGCACCGATCGCTGTTCCATTCCGTGCTCGGTGTTCGCGGGTGCGCGTACCGAGCCATGAATTACCGTCGTGCCAAATCCCGAGAAGGTGCCAAGTGCTGCCGGTCTGTAACAGCCTGCCGGGGCCGCCGCCGGCTCCGCAGCAGGTCTCGTAGCATCTGCTGGCGGGTTTGAACTCACTGTCTGCTTGTAGGGTTATTGGAAAGCAACTGGCTCCTCGGGATTCCTTGCCTAATCAGAGGTGTTACCTCCTCCTCTTCCCCCAGTGTCTCTTGACATCATTTCATCCATCAGAGTTTCAGAGGAAAAAAAAACACCAACCAAAGCAGAACCCACCCAGTCTGAGAGCAGCCCACACCAGCCCCTCAGTTTTGCCGTGACTGCAGGGAAGAGCTGGATCGGGGCAAAGATGAAGGATGGGAGCGGGGCTGAACTCCATGTCCTGAGGGATTTGGTGCAGGGCGAACCGAGAGGAATCCAGAGTGGTGCACCAACTGGTATCCCTCGTATCCCGGCTGGGGATCGGTAAGCCTGGCGATCGCGCGTAGGGATGCGAAGGTGCTTGACCCACGGGAAAGAAGTAGCCCTCAAGCTGCGTTTGCCCCTGCTCGTCCTTGTTGCTCCATGGGATTTCTTCTGCCCCCCGCAACTGACCTGATGTGGACCGAAGCGTTTCTAACATGAACTTTCTCCCTCGGATCTGGTGGTCTCTTCCCTTGGTCTTGGTCTGGGCGACCCCACCAGTCACCTCCTCATGGTGGTAAGCTGTGCAATTCCAGAAATTTTTATTTGCTCTTGGGGAAGGTGGGGTCGGATTAATGGTGATTTAGGGAAGGTGGGGGAAGCCTCTCCCTCTTAGTCTCGCAGAAGCGGAGCTCGCTGCTCCCACTGCTCCGGTCCAGAAAGTCCGGCCTTAAAGCGAGCGGATTAGACGGTCCCGGCACCTCCTTCCACACCCCGACTCTCCGACCTCCGCCTAAGCACAGCGCAGCTGCGAGGGCTACCCGGGGCTTGGGCAGCGGTGCGGGGGTACCCGGCCCGGCGGGGGCAGCGGGCACCGCCCGGGGCCGCGGAGGGAGCGGGAGGAGGGCAGGGAGGAGGGCAGGGAGGCGGGAGGGGAATCCGCCCCAGGGCCGCGGGTTGCCGCCCGCCGCTGCTGGCAGCCGCCCCTCCGCGCCCCGGCGGCGCTGGGAATTGGCTGCAGCGGCGCTACTTTTTTATTATTAATTTATTTTTTCCTTCTTCCTCGCCCTCCCCCGCCCCTCCCTCCTTCACAGTCCTCGCTGAACTGCAAACTGCCAGAGCAGAGGGCTGAGAGCCCGGCAGGGCCCGGCCTCAAGTGATAGCTGATGTCAGGCAGCTCGCTGCACAACGCGTTAGAATGGAAACATAAACCTGCCCCTGAAACTGGGGACCCCAACCAAGGCCAGTCGTGGTGTAGGAGAGGAGTTAAACCCCTTCTTGTAATCCTGGGGAACACATCTAACCTTGACTCTGGCTGATGCGCGATTAAAGCCCGATTTATCAGACTGGGCATGTTTCAATAAAACGACTATCTGTGTCCTTAGTCGTATAAACGTTATTTATTGTGATGGCTTTTTGTCATGGTGTCTTCTAAATGCGATATTTTTTAGAAGTTACGGCATTAACGATCGTATAAAATAATGAAAATTCAAGAAAAGGACATTTTCTTCTGTTTGATCCCTTCAAAAGACACCTATAGAAGTTTGGATTTTATGAAAGGTACCTTTCGAAACGTTTCAGGACTAATAGAGACCATCTGGATACAGATGATGTAATTTAATTTTTTCAAGGTTTTTTTTGTTTTTTTTTTTTTTGTTAAGTACTGCACGGAGCTGCAATAGCGGGGCTTGGGGTTCTCCCGAATGCTTCACGTTATTAAAAAAAACACAGGGTCGATGACTACTTGTAAAGGATTTCCATCAAAAAGGCAGAGGTAGCTGCAGCTCGGGACCCGCCGGACGAGGGCTCCGGGGCGCTGAGCACCCTGCTTCCCTCGGGGTCGGCGCGGGCCCCCGGTGCTGCCCTGCCCCTTCCCTCCCGCAGGTACATGGGCGCCGTGGGCTCCTCGCGGGTGATGTGCGACAACGTGCCGGGCCTGGTGAGCCGGCAGCGGCAGCTGTGCCGGCGGCACCCCGAGGCCATGCTCTCCATCGGCCGCGGCGTGGCCGCCTGGACGGCCGAGTGCCAGCACCAGTTCCGCCGGCACCGCTGGGACTGCAACGCCCTGGAGCGGGGACAGCGCCTGCTCGGCCGCGTCCTGCTGCGCAGTGAGTGCCGCGCCGGGCTGAGGGACGGGCTGCCGCCGGCTGGGGTGGGGCACACAGCCCACGGCCCGAGGGTAGAAGGGGCTGTGGAGAGACAGTGAGGGTACAAGTGTTCCTCACAAGGGTAACAGGGGCTGTCTTGGGGCTGGCACCCCCTGGGCAGTGTGCGGGAACGATGAGAAGCGGTGGCCATCCTCCTGTATCCTTCATCCTTAGCAAGGGTGAAGCTTGGTTTTATGTTTCAGGAGGAAAGTAAGAGGACATGCAAAGTTATTTTAGGGTCTCACGGACAGCAGAACAGCATATATGATAATGTGAATATCTGTATTGCTTAAAAACCTGTATCAAATCAAGGAGAGACAGTGTGGGGTTTTGGCATATTAAGAACTGGCTCTGCAGCTCCCAATTTCTCTTTTTTTTTGGTGTATAATGGATATCAAACCCACATATTAAGGCGTGCAGGGAAATTGAGGCATCAGAATGTGGCAGCAGGACAGAAGACTTTCCATCACAGCCCAGCCTCAGGATACCAGGACTTGGGATGGGCCCTGCTGTGAGGGGCAGCAAACGGGAGCCTCGTGCCTTGGGATGGCAGGAGACAGTTCCTCCTGCAGGCGGATTCCCGCTGATCATTTCTCCGGGAAGGCGCAGCAGCAGGGTGCAGTGCCTCCAGGGCCGTGCTGTGTGCGGGGTGAGCAGGGCAGCCCTGGCCTCCAGGCACTGCGGCATTTCGGGTCAGGCCCCGGAGAGAGAGGGGCAGGGCACACGCATCTGATAGAGGTGAGCCCGGCTTGTGCAGCCGCCGAGAAGCTGAGGGAGCAACATTGTGCTTCCCGCCCTGAGGGAGGATGGTTAAGCAGGGACGTGTCATCTAAAGGTCGGAGTAAGGCATCTAGTGAGTCTTCAGATCTCAAAAGTGGCCCTTTTGAGTCAAAGACGTGGCTGGTATTTGTTACTGTGTCAGAATGTCCTTACCCGCGGGATAAACCAGCTGAGATTCTTAGTAACTGCAGCACTTTCCACCGAGTGCCTCACCCTGTGCACATGGCCTTCCTTGGTGCCCAGCCAGTGTGGCTGACCCTGCCCTGGCACTTGTGTCCCTGGAATGTGCCCAGCGTCATTCTAAACAGTGAGCAGCGTGGCACCTGCAAGGAGGGCAGTAGGAAAGTACCCTGGGACCATTGCCCCACCGGTGGGGACGGAGAGGAGGATGGCAGACACTGGGCACACTGGCCCAAGCAGGGGGATTTTCATTCCGTGCTCGGTTCTGCTGCTGGTAAGCCATCTCTTCTTGTAACCAGCTTCATGTTCATGTTCCCTTAGCAATTATTTGTGAGTAACCAGTAACGTCACCCATAGGCTGAAGTTTTCAGTGAGGTTTGTCTGATATTCAGGAAAACATGTCTGGCAGAACATAGCCTAATAATGATGAGGCTATTTAATAAAAAAAGTAAAAATGCAGTTTTTCCAAAAGTGAAGTTTTCACTGTTGGCTCATGTGAGAGAATGACAGCATCAGGCTTCTGAGCTCTGCACTGAGGCTGATCGGGCTGTGATTGCCATGGAAATGTAGCTTGATAGTGCTCTAATAAAATTGAGTTCAATAAACTCAAATAAACCCTTTCTCTTCCAACAATATCCAGTGTTTCTTTTTAATTAACATTTTGCAAATTTTTGATATTTCTGAATAAGTTTTCTCAGAAATAAGTCTTCAAAAGAGCATGATTTCTAGCAAGCCATGGCAACTTCTGCCTGATTTTGAAGGCAGTGTAGGGAAGGCATGGTTTGCCCAGCTGCCATTTGCAAAAGGCTTGCACAGCATGTGGAAGTTGAGGGCCCATTCATAAGTTAAACATATTGGTGTACTGCAATTGAAATACTAAATAATAAGTTCCATGGTGTAATTCTGCCTCTACAAAAAAGTCACTGTTAACATTTGTCTTTGGGGTCCTCTTTTACTGTGCTAACATTGCTTAAGGCTTACAAGCCCTGCAAAGAGGTCTCTCTCACTGCTAGTTGTCTTACATATTGCACAAAAAATCTGCTTGTCGTTCTTCCTGTGTTAAAAGCTTTAAAAGTAGGAAAATATTTCCATTACCATAAATAGATTTGTGGCAGTGTAATGTAGCTCTGTATTGTAAACTACTGCATCTCAAAATAAAAGCAATTATTACATTGAAATATGTACCGAATTGCCTATGAGTAGGTATAGTGCAGAAATTCAGATAATCTTTGGTATAATAAAGTATCTTGGTTAGGAGATGGGAAAGCTGCCAGAGCAGCTGGCATGAAGAAGTCACAGCTGCCAGACCAAATCCTGCCTCAAGCATGACACAAGCGGTGCCATTGATTTAATGGAACTTATTTGTGTGAATTATGGTTACAGGCTGGATTCTCGGCAGAAAACCTAATATTAACTTATTTTTCAGAAAATAACACCCAAGTTTTCTCCCTAGCACATTTTAAGCAGGAAGGTCTATTCCAAGAGCTTCAGGAGAGAAAAATCTAGTTTCAAGAGTTACTTGCAGTATTTTGCAATGTGCATGTTGTTTTAGTGTCCCTATTTAATAATTTCTTAAACTTATCTTTCGCATAGCACTTCATATATTTTTCTAAATTCGTGAAACATGATAGGAATACCAGCTGTCCTATTCACATATCTGTACAAAACAACTGATCCATGAAAGTATATGAATCAATATCAGAAGCAAATGTTTAATGTTTTCCAACTCTAACACTATATTGATGAGCTTTTACCAGGGAGGGGTCCAAGCTTAAGCCATGACTAATTCTGGCTCCAGGGAGTGTGTATTTGTGTGATTTCAGCCTAGTTTATCTTTTGCTCTGCAAAAAAGTCCAGCCTAACTGTCTTGGATATAGGACAGCCACTCAAAGTAGCCACCCCAATGATATTTAAAGTGACTTTTTTTTGTTTCAGGTAGTCGAGAGTCTGCTTTTGTACATGCCATTTCCTCTGCTGGAGTTGTTTTTGCCATCACCAGGGCATGTAGCCAAGGGGAGCTGAAATCCTGCTCCTGTGATCCCAAGAAGAAAGGCTCTGCCAAGGACAGCAAGGGCCATTTTGACTGGGGTGGCTGCAGTGATAACATTGACTATGGCCTTAAATTTGCCAGAGCCTTTGTGGATGCCAAAGAACGGAAAGGAAAAGATGCCAGGGCACTGATGAACCTTCACAACAACAGAGCTGGAAGGAAGGTGGGTGTCCATGCAATAGATGCCTAGAGATGTTCTTGGACAACTCTGTTGTGTCTGGGGCAGTTAATGCTTGGCTCTTGCTGTCTGGTCTCAGCAGTTATGAGGAAACACAGGAAGAGCAGGAGCCTGAGCTGCTGTTTCTATCTTCCTTGGAGGTTCAGTGTGACAGAGATCTAAAAACAGACTGAATTCAACTGCCTAACAGTATTCCTGTTGTAGTCAAGCAGGAGTCTGAGCTGCAGGATCAGTTTAGATGGAGGTTTTGTTTTGAGCCTAGTTCTTATATAAGCAGGAGTTTTATTTTTTCATTAATACAGAATACAAGTTCCTAAGAGAGGCTGAAGATCACACTGAAGAACAGGCTTGACAAAGAGCAAATCCAAAATAACTCTTGAGAAAAAAAAACCAAAACAACTATTCTGTCCGTTTCTGTATGTATACGGTAAACTTAATCACAAAGTGAGCAGAGATAAAAGGTAACTACTTTTAAAGAAAAAAAATCCAAAATCCATGTCCCTCCAAAAGGCAATGGCCTCGGTGCATGACCTGCAACCCCTTTCCTAAACATTGTATGAAAATACTATTCCTGAATTTCAACTAAAAAACTCTTTACCTTCACACTGAAGGTGAGTAGAAGGAGTAGTTGCTCACCTCTGGTGCAAGGGCTGAGGAATATCTACACTAACATTCTGTGGTGGTAGCTATAAAGTGTAAGAATGGTGCATGAAACTGGAATATGCTGTTTCATTTTTTAAAACATGTTAAAAATGTGCTGCTCCCATGACATCTGAAATACAGAAAATAACATTTTATTGTGCTAGACCAAGCACATCTGGAATTATTTGTAGAGACTTTTTGTGTCTTATCTTTATATATATTTAATACATAAAATCTTCCCTAATGTCTTCTTTATTGTATATTTAATAGGAATTAAGTTTGTATTCTGATTGATTTTTGTACGGGAAGTAGATGATTTTCCTGAAAAATTTTTGTTCTTTAGCGTCTTTCCTTCACCTGCTTATTGCCAGCAGGTATAATTAATATGTAATGTAGGCAGATGAGGCTATTCAGGTCGGTGATAGGCACATGCAGTACTGTGGTCATGTTTCTGCTACTGTCCAAAAGAGGCTGAAGTCGACAACACAAAGATTTTTTAGGGGCAAATAAGTTCCATGGTGGGAAGTACTTTCTGTATTATTTGAGTACCTTATTATTTTTAAGTTTTTAAAAAACACCTCTGCCAAATACTTAGATAGTACTGGTAAGGTAGATATTTAAAAAAAGATAAAGAAATTTTACTAAATATAAAAATAGTGAATATGTTCTCATATGCTCTAGGACCTGCTTTATGGGCAGAGACACTGTTTTGTATTTACAGTGCAGTAGTGTAGGTTTAGCTTTGCAGGGATCTCACCATCTCAGCTGCCCACAAGCCTGGCATTTTGACCTGGGTAAGGCCACCTGTGCCCTTGTTTTTTTCTTTCCCCCATAAGGGGTGTGGATATATGTCTTTTAAAACTAGACTATTTCAACTGTGCTAATTAAAATAGAAATAGAACAAATATTTTTAATATTCCCATATGAGTCATAGAACATAATATGCTGTATATCAGTATAGGAACTTTACTGACAAAAAGAGACCATATTCCTATGTGCTTCTTCCCCTATTCCAAAAAGTTGTTTTAAACATACAAGAAGTTAAATTGATTTCTGCTCAGATAATTAAAACCAAGCATCTGCTTAAATCCCAGATTTGTGATATGGCAATGACATGGGACTGTGGGAATGCCAGTGACTTCTCTGAAGTAGTTGTATCATTTACAAGTTGGAAAGAAAATTGAAAGTCCTTTGGTTTTATAATACATTCTCACTTTATTACTAAGTGCTTGACTGGAAAAGGCTGCCCCACTGTGCATCAATCTCACTTATAATCATGGAGGTTTCCTCTCTCATACCTTCCTCCCACGATGACATTCCTCTTGTACAAACTCTAAAAAGTTTATATTTCATGAGCCCTTAAGGCATAATATTTGTAGATCAAATATCCATATCTACATAATTAGGAATGAATTATTTACTGCCTATGAACCCATCTGTTGTTCTCCAACATCATACAGATAGCTTAAATGTCTGAGATGAAGCTGAAATGTCATTAATACTATCCAGATGTTAAATTAATGATAAGGGTGATCTCCCCAAGGCAAACTAATGAAGATCTTATTCTAAAATGTTTGTTAAATCTGGATAAGCATTTTAAGTATACTGTATTTTAAAATTCTCCATAGGTCTGATGCCTAGCGCAGGTACAATGCTTTACACAGCCTTTTAAAAATAATTTAAATATGAAATGCCTATGAATTTCTGGGCAATATTTGAAACGCTGTTCAGGGTAAAGGGCAGCTTCATGGAGCTGGAGAGGGACAGAGGATCAGCATGGTGATCCTGCAGCTGGAACCATGGGGAAGGGGGGCACCTTCGCCTCCCAAGGGGCTGAATGATTCTGGCCGTTTCTGATCATTTCCTCCTGTCCAGTCTGTGTCCTAGCCCTGTAGACCGCCGATGCCCGGGATGGGGCAGCAGCAGGAAGGTAAGCCCACGGGGCGGGATTGTGTGTGCTGTGAGTCCAGCAGCCAGAGCAGAGCAGCCACATGGGGATGACTTGATGCTACCAGTGGGTGTCACTACAGACCGTAATTTGGAGACCCATCGCAGGCCTGGCATTACAGGATGGGTGGAAAAGGGCTGAGAAGCAATTAATTATGCTTTTTTTACCTGTGTATATTTATATTTACCTGTGCATTTCTAAACAGGCCGTGAAGCGGTTTTTGAAACAGGAATGCAAATGTCACGGTGTGAGTGGATCCTGCACTCTAAGGACCTGCTGGCTGGCCATGGCAGACTTCAGGAAAACAGGAGATTATCTGTGGAAGAAATACAATGGAGCAATTCAGGTGGTGATGAATCAAGATGGCACAGGTTTCACTGTGGCTAATAAGAAATTTAAGAAGCCAACTAAGAATGACCTGGTATACTTTGAGAGCTCTCCAGACTACTGTATCAGGGACAGGGATGTAGGTAAGCCTCTATCATTACATGTGAATGCCTTTATTTAAGACATTTGTACTTCAAAGGTCAAAAATTATAATTTTATTGAGAGTGTGTGTGTGTGTGTGTGTGTGTGTATATATATATATCCATGCATGTAACCAGCAGGAAGCAGGAAAGATGATGTTTTGGAAAGACTCAGTACAAGAACATTAGTTTCTTGATGTCTCTAGGTGTACAATAGCCAGCAGTTCTAATGTAATTTAGCAGTTTCTGCCAGATGCTATGGAGCCCTGGAGGTGCTGTAAGGCAAAGCTGCTTTCAGTACGAGTTTGAGTTGTGCTCTGGAGGCAGGTCATACTGGGCACAGCCACACTCATGCCACACAGCTCACTCCAGAGCTGCCCTGGGTCCTGCTGATGCCACCTCCTGTTGTGTTGCTTCCTTTCCTTGTTATGCTACCACTGTGGTGCCCTCCTTTATCTGCACATTCCCACAGCTCATGTGGCTGTGGAGCCCGGCCGCAGACGTGCCTGTCCCCATCTAATGTGGGAGGTACAGCCTGTGACAGTCCAGCCCTGCTTGCAGCAGTCAAGGCAGCTGTGGGTAACGGGGTGAGGCAGCTGGAGGGCGTGCAGGTGGATGGAAGAGTAGAGGTGGGTGGGACACAGCACGCTTGGCTGAGTGACACAGCTGTTTATTCCTCTTTGCGAGGCAGTGTTGGCTCTGTCCATGACAACCATCACATCTTCTGAAGAGTTCTGCCAACCCCCGTGGCAACAGATAAAGTATTGGTGCTGCTGTTAACACTGCATTTTCCTGCTTCAGAGATTTGATAGAGACACACTTAGCAGTGTTGCAGAATTCAAGGCACTGCCGAGCAGCAGGAAACCTGCTAACGGCTCTTGACCTGTGTATAGTATTTCCTGATGTGGCAATTAAAAACTAGCAACTAGAAAATCAGAAATTTGGAAAAGAGAGGCAGACTGAGTAATGTATTAGAGAAGTTGTGGGTCTAATTAACAGGTTGTAAATGGACCAGATTTCACCCTATATGACAAATCCATAAGTATCTGGATAGCAATGCAGCTCAACTCTTTTTGGCACTGCTGCATGTTTACAATCCAAGTTTGCTTGGAATAAACATTGCAAAACAGCTGTACTTAAATAAGAACAATATGTGAATTCCTGGTCATGTGCTGTTGACTTCAGTGAATGCAGAATTTCATCCAGTACAATTACATTGTACAGTGTTTCTGGTTAGTTGAGTCGTCACCATAATTTTAAATGTTATTTATTATTTTGGCAGGTGGTGTTTATTACCTGCATGAACACATACCATTCCTTGAATAGTGGCTGATACTGTAAAGTCTAATCCAAATGAATAAATGGACATATTGTGGAGTCTTGCAGAAATTAACTTTGCAGACTAGGATTTTTTCAAAACATTTATCTCTTGATGTTGCCTCATTCATTGTAAAAACCATGATTTCTTTTCCCCTGGAAGAAGAACTTGTACACTACCCAATTCTATGTCAAAAAGCCATTTAATAATTGCTTTGTACTAAGCCTAGTCTCATCTGTCAGTCTTATTATTGTGGAGGAGAGTGGGCATTTTTCACCACAGTGTATTATGTGCATTTGCCAGACACTGGCAAGCCTGCCCAGAGATGGCAAAGTCTGATTTTTTTTTTGGCTCAGCTCAATATAATTCTGAAGCCGAGGTGGTGTTTCTTTGCTGGTCAGAATTCAGAGAATGTGGCTGTTTGGAAGAGCATATTTTTAGAAAACTGCAGTAAACCTTTGGTGGGATGCTGCTTGCATGGAGCAAAGAAAGAACCACACAAAAACTCCTGATCTGACTTTAAAGGAGATGATTTTGGCAGCTGCACCACATTTTTTTCGGTTTTTTGTTTGCCCTGTTGAGCATTGCAGAGTGCCAGTCCTATTAAATGACTGCAAATGAAATGAGATTGTGGAAGTCAGAGTTTGGAAATAGATGGGGGCATCTCAGTGGTATTGGATTCAGTGTCAGCTGAATCTAATGTCACAATGTTTTAGTGTGTCATTGAATGCAGTTCTGCCTATCATTCTCCAGGGAGTTAAATTGATTTAATGCTTCAGGGAAAAAAAATTATCTGGAGGTTGGTTAGTGTTGGAGCTGAATGCAGGATTCACAGAGAAAACCTTATGAAGCATCATGACTTGACCAGGAGACAACTTCACAAACTAAAATGTGCAAGCCAGTGTCATCTGTGGCTTGATTGTGCTAACACATAGGAACCAGTGAGTTAAAAGTGCTCAAGAATTCTGCCATCAGCAGCTTACCCAGGAAAAAAGCAGATACCTTCTCTTTCCCCACTGGAGCTTTCCACCCTGGGTCTGGCATTCTGTCTGAGGGGGGAGCTGGGCATACATACCTGGAACACCCCAAAATGTAGTTTGTTTGTTTGTTTTCCCTCTAGAAAGGAAAGGAGGAGTAATTGATTTCAGGGAGGGTATAATATGGGAAATCACTAATAGTAACTCAATAGCAAGATAAAGTAATAACCTGACCACCTCTTTCCTTGCCTTAAGATTTCACAAAGGACCAAAGGAAGATTTTCCAGAAGTGTTCAGAATTCATTTAACCCTGCACACGTAACTGCTGAAATAATTTTTGCTCCAAATTTGATAGAAACAGAGATAGAACATCCCAGAGAGCTTTAAAAAGTCATCCTAGGTAAACTGTTGTTTTTATCAACACATGGCCATCTCTTCAGTGCTGGCCTGGGAAATCCCAGCCCCTCCAGAGAAATCTGCCTCCAATGTGTGCTGCCTGTTTTCTCCAGCCCTTCTCTACTGGGTGTTGTCTGTAAGATCCAGTAGCTCCAGAACTACTTTTCTGGGAATATTTCCTTCAATTGTTTTTTCCCCAAGAATACTTGAGAGGAAACTATCATTGGGGATTTCACTGGTTTTGCACTTTTTTTTTTGCTTTTCTTTGTGTATGTGTGTGTCTGTGTGTGTGTGAAATGGATGTTATTGCTTGACACCAGATTTTAATCAATAGAAGTAGAAGGAAAAAGCTCTCATTATATACTAATAAATATATTTTAGGGCTTTAGGAATGGAAAGAAAATACTTTTCAACATAACACATGTTGACTTCCAAAAATAACTGTGCAAACTGAAAAGAAAGGACTTGATGTACAGGCTGTGAAGTTGGCAGTATGAAAAGTTGTGAATGTTTTGGCAGGTAAAATGTGTGTAGGCATGGCAATTCCAACATCTGAAATAAAAACAAAGAGGCTGTACAAAAAACTTTTTACAAGTTAGAACCTACCCCTGCCTCGTAAGTGATGAGGAGGTGCATGGCAGGTAGCAGGCAGAAAACTCTGCCTTATTTTGTGCAGTGTCTTCAGCTGCCTTCATCACTTTGGCCTGCCAATGAGCATAGTAATTTGTCTGGCTCCTCACTGCTGCTTATTGTTCATTTTCCTTCTCACTAGAAAAGCTGCAGGCATTTTGAAGGTGCTGTTTGAACTTTTAAAAAAGGTTGGTTTTGCTCAAAAACTGAGCCTTTGTATGAGCTTGTTTTCACTTTTGTCACAATCTGTGGATAATTAAGTTGTAGTCGTGTAGTAAATGTTGATGTTTTGTGGTCAGCATCAGGTGACACCAGTTTCTGACTGTCTGTTAGTGGCTGAAATAACTTTGGTTTTGAAGCTGGTGGCAAAACTGGTGAAAACTGGTGGCTGGTGGTGAAAGCAGTGGGTGCATCCTGCTTAGGCTGTCCTTTAGTGCTGTGTGATTTCCCCTTACATCTGGAAATAAGAACTTTGGACTTGGAAACTAACTTGTGCCTCAGCTGAGGAATGTGGTCAAACCTTTCTGGGCAGCTCCTGATGGATGTGGGGGAACATGGGGTCTTCCTTCATCCCCAGCAGCCAAATGACACGACCCCACTCTGCTCCTGGTTGGGAGTTGTGCTGAGGTGGAGGGTGTGAATCCACTGGTGTGAATTCCTGATACAGAGTGTTAATCACGTGGGTCACAAGCTTGGCCTTTGTAATGTTTTTTTGGTCTGAACAGAGAGAGCAGGACAAGTGCCTTTCTTCACAGAATCAATGAGGCTGGGAAAGACCTCTGAGATCATCAAATCCTACCTTTGAGTGAACACCACCATGACAACTAGATCATGCACTAAGTGCCACACCAAGTCTTTCCTTAAACATCTCCAGGGCCAGTGATTCCACCCCCTCCCTGGGAAATCCATTCCAATGTCTAATAACCCTTTCTGTGAATTTGGTTGTATTTGGCACAGTCTGGGATGTGATGGATATTGCTGTGGGCTGACACAAACAGCAGAACTTACATTCAGGTATCCCAGCTGTTTGCTCAGCTTCATGGATGGAGGAGAGTGTGATGGCTGGGAAGCAGGATCTGGCTTTTCTTCTGCCACAGGTTTCCTGTGGACCATAGGTGCATCATGTGGTGCTGCATCCCCCTGACTCCTCAGCCTTGCCTGGACTGGGGGCACTGGGGGCCTCTGGAAGTCTCTCTGCCCCCATCATGGAGTGACTCCTGAAGAAAAGATCTGGGAGAGGCCTCTTGGCATCACTGCTCTGCCTGTTACGCCAGTTTCCCTGGTGCAGGGAGAGCTGCACGGCTGAGGGCTTGCTGGGAGCAGTGTGTGCCCATGTGGGTCACTGCTGGGGGCACCTCTCCCCCCTTGCTGCAGGGGATCCAGGTGAGCACTGGCTGTAGGGACAGTAGGCCAGGAGCAGGAGTTGCTGCTGGTTTCCTGGTGCAGGGTGTGCCTGATGCCCCACATGGCTGGTTGTTACCAGGAGCGGAGCTGCTCCCCCAGATATCAGAGGTTTACTCTGAAGTGCTGTTCAGCCTTTCCCCAAGGACGTTGTGCAGAGCATTGGTCCACAGGCAGCAGCATGAACGTGCCCAGACCCCAAGGAGATTTGGGATGTATCAGGCTGCAGGTGCAGGAGCCTGTTTCTGGCTCCGTTCCGTGGGTTTTCTCTTCCCTCTGCCGGTTCCCTCAGTGGGGCTGGCTGGTGCAGCAGAGCTGTGCTGAGCCAGGAGCCCTTTGCAGCTCAGGGCCAGGGGCTCAGCAGCTGGAGAGCAGCTCCGGGACGGGCCATGGGGCCTGTGCTGGGGCCACAAACACCCTTCTGCTCTGCCTGCAGCAGACATGAACCAGCCATTCCACAGGGAAGCTCTCCGGGTGTATACCTCTACCCAATGAATATTTAAATATTTAAATAAGTACAGGAATCTAGGCCATGGGAGGGAAGCTGTGTTCTAGGGTCTGAAGCACTTCTCCAGGACAGCAGTTAAAGGCTGTCCTAAGTTTGATACAAAAAGAGGAAAATTTGCACCCCCATGGCTGAGAGGCTGGATTATGTGTAGGTCTGATGAAAAAACACAGTTTGTGAGGGTGACTTTGGTCCAGTTCATGAGACTCCTCATTGCATTAGTGGTTTGGGGTCAGCCCCCATATAATATGAAGTCTTCCTGATGCTGGGGGACAGCAAGGGATGGAGAGACAATGAATACTTGTATGTTATAAACTGCTTTGAGACAGCAGCATCACTGCATACAACCATAAATTCACCCTAGGGGGGAAAAAACTAAAATTGGAATTTATTCAACCTAAATTATTAATAATTATGATTTAACTGCAGTTTACATTTTATTAATTAAGATTGGTTTGCTATCCTAGCTTATGCAAATTTAAATTAATGTTTGCATGTATTAGTTTTCCTTAAGAAGGTAAATTGTTCATGTTCAGTGTGCACCTGCAAATATGCTTTGTAAAATAATTCCGGTTAATTTACTGACCACAGCCATTACTTAGGGAATATCACCTTGCCCAAGAAGAGAATGGAGTTGTAATCAGGTCTATGGAAAATGTCAGAAGAATGTTAATTTTTGGATATATCCACATTTGATTCATAATAGCACTACATAGGAAATTAGGTGAGGCAATTAATTTTTATGAAGTTTTCAGTTTGGTGGTAATAACCTGTCAGCAGCTGTGGTATTGATCCTGAAACGTACCCTAAAATCAGTTTGTGTTGGATGAACAGTGGCTCCTATGTGGCACAGTTGCTGTTCATGCTAAGACGTGCCTTACAGAGCCATTTTGTGCCACGTGGATATAGGCACAGGCATTTCAGCCACTCCTCCTGGGTGTTTGAAGAACATGACAAGGCGTGAATTGGTTCCTCTCCCTCTTTCTGTCCAGGCAGGCTATAATTTAGTTTCTTCTAATGTTATCATGAAAGGGGAGAAGAACCCTTGGTGTTACCCCACAGAGATGAGAGGCACACAGAGCAGCAGCTCTTCAGCTGCCACCTGAACTGGTGGAATGGGGCCTGTGGGTGGACACCACAGCGATGCCAAAGGCCCGGGGTGCTGGTGCACTCACTTCTGCAAGACTTTAATCACTGGCAGCACAGTCACTTTACCCACTGAGTCCCTCACAGCCACCAAATTCTGTGGTCTTCTCTCTCCTAGCCCTCTCCGGCACACCCAGAGCTCCTCAGCAAAGACCAAGACCATGAAGATGCTCCACCTGGGCATCCCATTTCAGACAGTCCTGGGGGACTGGGTGCAAGACTGCCTTGGGAAGGGTGTCTGCTCCCTGGAGGGGAAGAAAGTTCCAGGGAAAGATGAAGAAAAACATGCTGATATTAACAGAATCAGGCAGACCCTTAAAGTATTTAATCCATTTTCTTCCTCCTCATCTCCAGGCCTGATTCCTAGGGGAAATATGGGAGTAATTTTATCTTTATAGGCATTTTCCTGGGTGATGTGATGTTAAAGGATCAAATACATTGCAAATGATGTCTCCTATACCTGTCTTTCCTTAAAGTCTGCCTCCTGACTTCTGCTGCGTTCCCTTCGCAGGGTCCCTCGGGACAGCCGGCCGGGTGTGCAACCAGAGCTCCCGCGGCATGGACAGCTGTGAGGTGATGTGCTGCGGGAGGGGCTACGACACCTCCCGCGTCAGCAGGATGACAAAATGCGAGTGCAAATTCCACTGGTGCTGTGCTGTGCGCTGCCAGGACTGCCTGGAAGTGGTGGACATCCACACCTGCAAGGCGCCCAAGAGCGCTGCCTGGATTTCCCGGACATGACACACAGGCTGAGGAGCACAGCCTTTGCCCTTCCTGGTCCATGCAGGGAACACATCAGAGATATTTTTACTTCTATGCCTGTTTTGCCTTTGTTGTTCATTGCAGAGATGCTGCTGAAAAATTGATATAAACCCTGCAGCATTTACTTGGCATTTCTGCATGACAGTGTTGCTGCAGAGTTGTCTCTGCATAAACTGATGCAGCTCTGGAAGGATGTATTCATGCCAAGACTCTTCCAACCACCGTGTAACTCTCCCCCAGAACCCTTGTGGCAATTCATTCCTGCCATCAGGAACACAAGAAGATACAAAATGTGGCACTTTCACAAGATCACCACCACCAACCGCGTGGGCTGGGCTTGCTCAGGCGTCTTCTGAAGGATCTTGGGCAGGTCACAGTTGAGCCCTGGCTACTGAATGGCTCAGGAGTTTGAGCACTGGTTGGTGATTTCCCCATGAAAGAAAATTTGTGGCCAGATTGGTGAAAAACTTTACTGGAAGGGTGTTTGATCATCCCTGGTGGACTGGAGTTTCCAGTAAGCTGGCCACCCGAGGCCACCCTGGCCACCATTAGCACACTGTGGCTTCCTGTGGGGCAGGAACTGGCCCATGGCCTAAAACAAAGGAAATTGCAGGAGATATATTCAGCCATAAGACTTTGATGAACTATTAGAGTCTAAGCAAATGTCTTAGTTATATATTTGTGAAAACTTGCCTTAAAAGCTTCTAAAAAATAATAATATTAACTGCTGAGAATTTTTTTTTCTGACCTGAAGGATTGAAGAGAATGGTTTTTCCCCTAGGGAAAGCTGGGTACAGGACACTCAACTACCTAAGGATCTAAGGATAAGGTTTCCTCTTTTTCACATACACAATAGTGGAAAAATGTTTGTGAACAACGGTGGAGAAGGAAATGCCTTGCCTCAGTAATGACTTGGATTCTAAAGAAGTTATCAGCATCTATGTTCTTTTAAAGTTAATAAATCTATTAAATGTGCTCAAAATGATACTTTCCACTCAGATGGGGACATCCAAATTAGATTTTTTCTGCATATTTTCTGCAAAACTGCACATCTATGATTTGGAGTGTATTGGCTTGTAATGGAGGCAGTTATAGGTTGTGCCAGTCCATATGCTGGGCTGGGATCAGCACAAAACAAGTTGCTGTAAAAATGTACAAGCATCTGAGGCCCAGAAATTGCAGCCTTGGTGGAGAGGGTCTGGGTCAGAGAGAGACCAGCTGCCTCACCTCAGGGCAGAGATCAGCAACATGAACCAAGAGAAAAATGGGTTCTGTGCCAATAGGTATAATAAGACTCTGAAAAAGCACCCATGAAGAGTGGGGACAGGCAAAGTAATGAAAAAATAACATAGGAAAAGGAGGCTGAATGAGTGATAGAACACATTTTAGATGAAGGTACTATTTCCATATGAAAATGAATAAACTGAAGAACCCTAGCAGGTACAAACAGTGCAGGAAAAAGTAATATCCAAGTAGCTAACCAAGGCAATAAAGTGAATATTCTGGGTATGTTTTGGTTTTGGAACTTTCTTGAAAGACTATTTAAAAAGAAGGGGGTTTGGCATTAAGTGGTCTTGAGGGAGCAGTCATTTACATCTGCAAGGCTTTCAAAAACGTTTGTATCATTAAAATGGGTAATTCATCTCCAGAAGGCACAGCTGGTGTTAAAAGATGAGGAGGCTCCAGAAAGTTCTTTATTTGGACAATAAGATAATGTTTCAGTAACTCTATATGGAAATGATCATGGCTAGAGGTGAGGTAATCACACTCCTGTCTATAAACCAGCTGCTGGTGGGAGCAGCCCTGCCCAGTGTCCGTGCACATGCAGTGTGTGTGAGATGTGTATGTGTGCCCACGGGCAGCTCAGGGCTGTACTGCTGGCCTCTTCATTGCTGCCAGTTCTGGCTCTGGGCTGGATAAGGAAAATTTCATACATAATTGTATTTAAAGGTGAGCTCCAACGAGAATTTTTATTGGGATTTCACTGTGAAATTAAATCCACATGTAGTTCGTAGTCTCAGCAATATCATACTTTAAGCCTTAAAGAATTTAAAAGCAGTGTAATAATTTTTAACCTTTTAGAGCAGGTTTGGTGTGGTTTTTTTTTTTTTTTTTTAAGATTTAAAGAGCCTGAGTAGTCTAAAAGATTACCTATTTAATAGAGATGAAAATTTCTGGAAATGTTCTGGAAAAAAGAAAAAAGGCTCATTCTTACAAGAGATCTTGTTCTAGGCAGCTGAATGAAGGGTAATGAAATCAGATCTCTTCTTAAATCTGTTATTTGTTTAATATTCCAGAAAATCAACTCACCTGAATTCCGCAGTCCCAGATAAAGTGTTTTGGAGTCACTGTGTTAAAGTGTATTAGCTTTTATTCCCCAGCCTGGTCTCCTCTGCTAAGGCACATCTTCCTGTTCCAAACCTTCTTCTGGGTCAGAGGCCTGTGGTTCCTGAAGGCTGTCTTATCAGCAAGAGCAGGAAGATGGGGGCATTGAGTGCCTTGGCCTTTTTAGTGTCCTTGTCACCCTGTCCAGCAGGAAGCCCACCCAGGTGTGCACAGCAGGCTGATGTTCCCATTTTGGGCATGTGCCATAGTGATAAACTGTGATGCAACGCCTGCATCAAAACCACTGCACCAGAGGAAACCCAGAATATTTCACTGAATGACAAATGGGTAAGTGCTGAGCTGGCCACTTACTTGATGACAGTTTTTTCTGTATTTATAAGATTTTCTTGTTTGTTTTTTTTTGTTTTTTTTTTTTTAAGAACTCAAGGTAGAGTTCTCACAGTTGTAGGCATTTCTGCTGCCTCTTCCACAAAGAAATGCACTCCCAGAAACTTTTGCTATTTCTTAGTGGCAAAATACTCAGAGATGTAAATATTGCTAGGAAAGACATCTCCATAATATTCAGTAAATCCTAAAAAGAATATAAGAGGGGGAAAAAAAGAGAAAACCAGAAAAGAAGAAACAGAAATAGGCATGGCAAATGAAATAATACTGCAGTTTTGTTCTATGGAATAAATTTACTCATGTACTTAGTCATGAAGAGGAAACAGCTGTCTCTAGGTAGACATTTTAATGTCAGAATAATGTTAGCTGAGGCTAAAGGTTGTAGGATTATTTTTTTAAATACGCAGTCCAATTTTCTTGAGGGAGTTCCCTTTAATTTGCTGCATGAACTCAGGATCTAGCAGCGCCCTGAAACAACGTTAGCCTGCCAAGCTTTTTGGGATTGCTTCCTCCCCACTCTTTTCAACAAACTTTACCCTAAAAAGTGTGTTGCGCTGTTATAGGTGAAATCTCATAAAAAAAGTTTAATTTTCTTTCACCACATGGAAAATGAGGAATGACTTAGGAATGGTGGTGTATACTAGGGCATGTGGGCATTGAAGCCTGAGAGATGGCTGCTTTTCCTGGAAAAATATCTAAAACAAATTTGTGCATCTCATCCTGGCCTCTCATCCCTGTGTGCACTTCCTTGCAGATGTGCATTATAAATAAAATGCTGCATTTGTGGTACTGCACTGCACAGGGGTGTCCAGCCTGCATGCCCAAAGCACAGCTCTCGGTCACTGCCGGCAGGCCTCGTGCCCAGCTTCTTGTGGGGCTCAATGGATGGGGCAAGGGGGAAAGGAATGTTCGGGGATAGGGAAGAGCTGGATCTGGGGAAGGTGCTTTTGCTGAGAAAAAGCAGCTCTCACTCCAGTGTGGCAGCACAAACTGTACCAAGGCTCGCTCTGTAGCATTTGTCCCACACTCCTCGGAAGGGCTGCATGCGGGTCGTGGCTGCCTCCAAGGGCAGAAGCGGTTTTGGGGTCACATGTCACAGCCTGCCGGTTTTACCTGCCGCTTCAAATGACAGAAATGAACTATGAAATGAAATAGTATTATCAGAAAGACAGAGACAGCGCATGGGCTGTAACCAGAAACGTGACTTTGGGTTGTTACTTTTGTGTGACAGCTCACTTGCCTGGGGAAATGGATGCAACTTGATAAAGTTTAGATCTCTTGTGAGAAAGAAGCAAATGCATATGAGTCAATACATTGACAGCTCCCTCTGTGGTGGGAGCTGGGCAGGAGCCCTGCTGAAAGCCGGGTGGAGCCCGGGGCTATCTTTTGCAATCATCTGTTGTAACTAGAGCCACTGAGGTTTTCAGGGCCACCACAGGGTGACAGCCACACTGGGTGTGAAGGGATGTGTGTGGCGTGTGCAAGGGGTGCAGCTTCCTTTGGATGCTCAGCTTCTGCAGGTTCCTTCAACATGGCAAAACTCCTGATAATTTTCCTCCTTTCTGCTAGGGTAAGGACTTCCATGCTCTGAAGAAACAGTCTGTATGTTCAGCATACACACCAAATGATGAAAAAGAGAAAGCAGCAGCCCTCCCTCCCCTTGGTGAGCAGTCACCTCTCTGAGTGCAGATCCTGCCAGGGAGCTGCTGTTAATCTACCCAGAGGGAGGGAGGGACAGAAGGGGCCAGCTTGGCTTGACACCCCTGGGGGGGTCCTCTCCTTTTTTGTTCTATGCAGGTTATAGTGTAAAGAGATAATGTGTGTACAAATTCTATTAAGTTGGTTTTAAAGAGAAAAAAAGAAAAAAAAACAAAAAACAAAAAACCAAAAAAAAAACAAAACACCACAACCAAAAAAAAACACCAAAAAACAAAAAACCAGGAACTGCTAACATTTGGAGTTAAAAAGCTTCCTCCACCCCTAAATCTGAAGATGAGTTATTATCTGAACCAGATTTCCACAAGGCTCATCTCTGCACAACGCCAGAGGCCTTCCATCATTATAATCATGGGCTGTGTTTGCTCTTTGATCTAAGCTATACTGAACTTCACAGGAAACATGTCAGAGGCAGCAAAGCCTAAGGCAATAACCTCTGCCCAATGAAAAAGAAAATTCTTTTGTCTGATTTGCCTAGTCTTCCAGATGCCTAGAATTATAATTAAAGAGAGATTTTCCAGATAAAAAAATCC